TATGCATGTCGCGTGCCCGTTGATGCAGATGCGGACGAGGCGACACGCTGCAAGACTTTATGCTGGCAGCGCTAAAATCGTTTGTGCGGCGCTACAATGTGCAGTGTGCGCAAATTGCTGAGCGCATCGGCAGCGAGGTGTTGGGGGCAGAGAGCGTGCCGGTGGAGCTACGTGAGGCAGTAGAGCATCAGCTGAACCTTTGAGAGGGATGAAAAGCTGCATCCCCCTTTTCACCTTTCTACTTACTTCGCCTTTTTGTTTACTCCTTTTAGCGGCAGACTTGACGATCTTCGAGGCGGTGTGTGTGTGTGTGTGTGTGGTGGTGGTGGGGTGGGGTGGGGTGGGGGGATGGGTGAAGGGGGGTCCTGGGTGGCTGGATAGAGCTGAGCTATGAAGTTGGTCGAAATAGGGGTAACATTTGATTACCCGATGAGGCAACAGGGGGTATCGTCTGCGGTACAAATACCCCCTCCCTTTGACCTGCACCATTTGAACCGCTGGCCAGTTTTTGGGAAGGGCGTTTTTAGCCTCTCCTGTCGTCGCTCCGCCGGCAGGGTTAGTGGGCAGGGATCACGATTCTGCACTCAAAATTGGCCTGGGGGGCTTCTACATGGGTGAAGTTTACCCCCTTGGGCGGCCTGACAGCCACCCGAGGGACCGCTGCCGCTACCGTTCCCTCGCTGCGGAACGGTGCTCCCAAGGGGCTCTCAATGCCTCTCCGGGCCGAATCCTTCTACAGAACACCCCTGTCTGCCTTGCAATATCCTTGGGAGTGCTGTTCTAGGTCCACATGCACTGGTTCAGCCCCCACAACCGTGGGCAGATGCCAGGCTGCAGGCAGTTTCTGTTGTGAGAGAAGGGCTTTACACCAGACTGATGGCATTGGGTCGGGGGAGCTGACCGTTGGGTTTTGCCAGCTGGCGCGGGTGTGGGGCGCGTGGCTTTCGGTTTGGCCATCTGGCTTTCGGTCTGGCCGCGTCCCAACGCGGTGGGTGCTGTAGGTGAGCAGGCTGGACAGCTGGCGGGCGCTGGTGCAACCAGGTGGCCCGCCGTCCAACACTCCCACGCAGACTGCTCAACTGCAGGGGGTGGTGCCCATGGCGGTGCGGCAGTAGTCGAACTTGGTTGCCGGCACGGGCTTGGTCAGGGAGTCGGCGACCATGTGGTCAGTCTTGATGTAGGAGAAGGAAACGTCGTTGCGTGCCACGCGCTCGCGGGCAAAGTGGTAGATGACGTCGATGTGCTTGGAGCGCATGGAGAAGACGGGGTTCTTGAGCAGCTTGATGGCGCCCTGGCTATCAGCCAGCATGGGGATGGTTTGGATGGGCTGGCCCAGGTTGCCCAACAGGGTGCGCAGCCAGAGGGCCTCCTTGATGGCGGCGGCTGCCGCCATGTACTCGGCCTCGGTGGTGGAGGCCG